GTAATTTGACCCATCTGTGGTTACGAACGCTCGTGAAGGATTGACTTGTTGTTAATGGTCGTATATCCATGGACACAAAAACATCTTACAGTGAGAAGAGTGCAGCTGCGAGTCTTTAGTGGAGTGACCTGTAGTTAACGAATGCTGATTAACTCGGTTAATGAGTTTGACCGATTAATTATTTGAATGAGATTCAAATAAAAATCAATATGAATAGGATTCATATTAAAATTATAGGTTAAAAATAATGTGCATAAGATATACATTACAACTATATGTTATATGAGAGAATTGCTTTAGAATATGATTCTATTTTGGGATTAAATAATTAAATGTTAATTATTTATTTAATTAATATCTAATTAATTTTTTTTTAGTACAACATGGTGGGGAGGGAATTCGAACTCACAATCTCTTGTTTGGAGGTATATGTCAATTACCGCTGAGCTATGCTCGGTTTGGCTATAATTAATTAATTAATTGTTATAAGATTAATTAATTAATTAATTATATATATTATTAATTATTAATATTAATATAATTAATATTAATTAATATTAGTATTTATCACTCCCCTAACTAATTGCAGGGGAATGGGTGGTTTGTGATGACTGTTGTTTGCAGAAATGTTCTGCACAAAACGAAAAAAAAAAACAAAGAGAAATTTGGTGCTGCATTTTTCTCCTCTCATGCTTTCTCTCTAACTTTTTCTTTTTCCAAGTTCGTTGCTCCCACAAGAACACTCTCGTACCCAGAAAGTAGTCGGGAAGATCGGTGGTAGTGAACGGATTCGTTGGTGATTCCTTGAAGAACGGTTCTTCAAAGGTAAAAGAAAATTCTTTTCCCTATATTTTTCTTTAAACTTGTGGTTTTTTGTTCCTTAAAATTCAAGAACAAAAATCTTCGTTTCCACTGCGGGATTAACGTCCTTTCAGCAAAAACATAATAAGAATACAAAAATATAAAAGGGAAGGGCTCAGAAGAATACCTCGGCAGCATGATCAACGGTCAGCTGGAGGGTCTCCACAGTAGTCCCAGGAGGCGAGCTGGGATGCCCAAGAGCTCGGTTCGAGCTTACGCATCTAATCCTACGCGTAAGAGCATTGACACTCCCTGAGATAGGGTAAGTCCTGAAGTACAGGTCGAAGTCCTGCACCTCCCCGATCTTCTTGACGATGGCCAGCCCACCAAATTCAATTGTCACCGAAGGGCAAACCTTCTGCATCTCCTTGGTCACCTGTCGGCTTGGACTAAACCCATTGTGAGTCTTCTTCTTCTTCTTCCTTTTCTCAGTAGGTGGCGACATGAGGATCTTCTGGACAGGAGCCACCCCAATTGGGTCAGAGCGTGGAGTAGCAAGGACCGACCCCATCTAAACCTCCTTGTCAGGAACTTCGATGGGCGTGGAGCTGCTGCCGAGCTTGGCAACTCTCCTCTTAATACCTAGGAGGAATGCAGGCAACATGTCTGCTAAATAATCCCTTATTAGCACTAACGATGGAGAAGCAAGGGAAAGAGTGAGGACGACATACCTTTAGAGTTGATGGGAGAGAGAAGAGGCGACAGTGATCTAGAGGGGCTCGGTGTTCGAGGATCTAATGTAACTTCCTCTGGTACGAACTCCTCTGAGGCAGTTCCCTCAATGATATGCAGACCATAGTCATACAAGTTATCATCTGCAAACAAGACTAGGTAATGTCGAGCTGCTCGGCAGATCTTGGGATTCTTACCAAATACTCGCAGGTGAGCTCGTTAGGTCAGGGGACAAGCTTGGGAAAAACTGGAAGCAAGATGAAAAAGCGTTAGGAAGCAGGGAAGATCTGAAGACCATTGGCGACCAAGGAAGAGTGGCGTTACCTAAGTTCTTGAAGTGGCGAGGAACCCGTCAGCTCAACTCGCCCTCACCACCCTTGGCTAACTAGTCGCCATATAAATAGAACTAGTCCTTCATCTAGTGTTTGATGGAACACGGTCCCTTGAATAATTTCCCAACACCCTGCCGAGCTGTTAGGTAGAACCGCCCTGGCTTCTTCGGGAGGTTCTTTACAGTATAAAAGGACAACTGGCTCAGGGTGAGGTAATCTGCGCTCGCAACATCTACCTCGAGCCTCCACCAGAGCATCCAACAGCCTAGTAGGATGCCCCAACCATTGGGCGCGAGTTGTGTAGGCGCGATGTTAACTTCGGCTAAGGACTCCTGTGCAAAGGGGTGAAGGGGAAACCTAACCCCGAACTCAAACATCTTCTCATAAAAGGCGACGTGCCCTTTAGGAGGATTGTCTACTGTCTCACCTCTCCTAGGAAACCTCATCCCTATGGACTTAGGGATGTCGTACCTATCCCTAAAGAAGGCCAAGCAACCGTTGGCCAGGTCAATGGGACTACCCTCAGATTTCTCAAGGACCGTAGGGGAGGGATATAAGGCTGAATCGCTAAGTAGGGAGGCACGTCATCCCCACTCGCGTGGGAAGAATACCTACTATTCGAAAACTCAGTAGAGAACGAC